TTGAATGTTTCCTTGCGCTTCATTGCTTGCAAACAGTCCAACGAATGCAATGTTATCAGCAGGGCTGGACAGATCTGCTTGTTTTTATCACCATTCTAGATGTATTTTCGTTTGGAGTTCAGGTTCAAAATCATGGCATTTAGAGCAAGTATTTGTTGTTGAAAGGCAAAATTAGTGGGTTGAGGACCATCAATCGTATGTTTCTTTTCAGAGATGGGGTTAATTAATGTATAATAAACAAGTGAAAGCATTTATTTCCGTCAAAACAAGCAGTTTCACTAGCGATCAGTTAACGTTACGATTGCTAGCTATTCAAACATTTGTTGCTATCTTCTTTTCGAATGATCGCCGTAGTGCTCTCGTCATAGCGCTGCATTGCCGTTCTCACAATTTCTTATTGTGACTTTAATACAAACTAATATAAAATATGCGATTTTGTTCTCTTCTTCAAATGATTGATGTTATTCGTAATGGCGAATGTGCATCTGAAAGAATAACAAAAAGCTGCAAATCCCGGATGTTTTTGGATTGCTTTATACGAACGATTGAGCGATTTTCAGTTGCATTTCCTTGTCGATGCGCAATTGTGCTTTATTATGTGACTGAATTACAGAGAGGTGTTGATTTTAGCCATTTTTTCCATGGAATGTCAGCACTGGAAAGTTGTCAGCCCCTTGCAACGATGAATGGCTCATATTCTTACAAGACTGACTTCTTATGTCGAATTCTCTTTTCGTGAATGTCAGATNAACGATGAATGGCTCATATTCTTACAAGACTGACTTCTTATGTCGAATTCTCTTTTCGTGAATGTCAGATGAGAAATTGTTTTCTTCACTGTTGAACTGTTTGTGCTTACGCTGGTTTATATTTGAGAACGTTCACATTGGATCCCACATGGACAGCAGCAGTCTTAAGTGCAATAAACCTTCCAAGTGATAAAGGAAACCACATATCGATGATTCTTAAATGCGTTCTGTTTAGGTCGTCTTTCTATGTATACGGTGGTTTTAATATTTAATTATAATTTGATCAAGCTTTGCATTATGTTCGGTGATAATAAAATATTTATACCCGATTGAATATCTTGGGATCATTCCAATTGCTTTATTACTCGAATATGTCTAATAAAGGCTGTGTGGTGTTTGATGTGATTGACTAATGAAAACGTCGAATTTTATGATGTGGTTCACATTGATTCATTTCATTTGTTGATCATTGTATGTAGAAGGTGGTACTTCTTTCACAGTTGCAGATTGTCCTCTCTGATGCTAAACACTTTTGCTGAACTTATGCTCGTAGAAGGTTTTGTGTTTGCCGCTGAAGAGATACTCCCACTTAAGCATAGAACTTTGCTCTGAGACATTCGAACTTCGCTATTTGCCATATGTGGATTGACATTCAAACAAAATTGATGTGCCTTTTTGCTGACCGTATAGACAATCTGTTGCTCATTTTGAGCAGATAGAGCAGCTTAGTTCTCAGCTGCCTTCTGAGAACGGATCATTTTTCAGCGAGTAAATTGATTCAACAAAGCTGCATGAGCAAATTGATTCTCTTTGATGAAGTAACGTTTGTACTTAAAATAGCAGAAAAAATTTTGTTATTCATCTGGATAATATCATTGTGCTATATTCAGAATCGAGTGCACGATTACAACGCATTCGTAATGCTGCAGTTGGCANATCATCGCCGTTAGATTTGATCGAACTTCGTCATCTTTGATACCGCTCTCGAATTTGTATCGCTCGTACTTGTGAACTTTCCATGGAATCATTAGCAAAAAAATGTCCCATTATAGTATTTTCTGAACTATCTGAAGAAGTTGAAATCTGGCATAGCAATATACTGTTTTCAATGGAGCAGTGAGATGACCTCGGAAGTTAGGTTATTTTGAGTTCAAAAGAGTAGTGATTCAAGAGCTTCATTCGTTTTGCTATCATCACATTCTGTCACCCAACATCGTAATTATGCACTCTTTTTTAACTTCTACGGATTGCTAGCGTCACCTCAGCCATTTGTATCGTTAATGCAATGGTCCTGCATCAATGGCATTGCGTTTCTCTGATTGCGTGCAGCTTCTCCAGTGCTACACTTCTCGACGTCATTTGTTTAATTTCGCAGTTGCACTTTTCTAGGACGATGAAGAGCCGAGCACTTCTGAATATTTCAGTGGTTCTGTGGATCGTGATGTCATTGATGATCGAAGCCAAACGAAGGTTATTGCTCACCATTTAATGCGAAGAAACTAAATTTTATCATAATCCTTGAATGCAGTGAATCAATTTTGTTGTTTAAAAAATGTAAAGCGTTGCACAATTTTGTGATCTTTGTGATTAGGAGAATGAGGTCAGAGAAAACAGTGGACTTGTAATGAGGCGTTTTCATTGATCAGGTAATGATTCTTAAATGTAACTTTTCTTCAGCAATGCAGAACCAATCATTGGAGCATTGAAACGACTGAATGATAACGCGTTATGGGCAACGAAGCTGTTGAAAGAGTTCGACCTAGAACAGGTTGAGTCTTTTGCGGAATTTCTGCTAAGAATGGGCCATTCCGATATCTTTTGTTCTGATCGAAAATCCAATTCAGTCGATCAATGTGTCATTTGATACAACATTCAGATTAGAGAATTACACAAATGGTGGTTTCCGTCGGATTGCTTATATAACTTTTTCGATAGAAATATTTGAAATTCAGTGAATTATTTTCCGACTGATTTTGTANTATTATTAACAGTTAGTATTCCATTGGTACAGAAGTATTTTATGATGAATTGCTGGATAAATAATCATTTAACAAAACTAATCTTCACTAGTAATTTGTTGGATGATTTTAGGCATCTGATGGCGTGTACTCACGTTTATCTAGATTGTGTTATTTCACTCCTGTGCAGTGCTTACTGCCATTAGCCGGCGAACAGAAAGCCGATCACTTGCTTCTGGTTAGTCCTCTTGGCCGCTGAGCTTTCTGCGTTTAAACTCCAATTTCTGACGAAGTCAAACGAATCCTCCTTACATGAACAGGTCACGGTAACATCGTCATTAAACATGAATAACCGATCCGAGGCAGTGAACTCATTGCTGAACCCTTTAAAGTTTTCCAACGGATCGTGTCATCTCGTCATTTTTAAAACAAGCAATATAAAACGACAAAAATCTCGATGCACTGAACTGATGATCGATGCGAGGAATTATTCGTTTTACATTGATTTAATAATACTCGGCAAATGAATTTCTTCGGTCAAAAGTATTCAAATTTGAATGAACGTTACAAATGATGATTGATTACCTTTGAAAAAAATAGTGGAAACATTGCTAAACGTAAGGCGCTAGTGTCACAGATACGCCTGTGCCAGGTGATAGTGTAATGAGTGAAAATGCAGATCAAATTCTTTGATATCCGCGCGAAACGAGTTTTTGATGATCGATGTACATGCAAAATGTGTACTTATTAGTAAGTGGTGAACTGTACGTAATGCCGCAGAGAAATGAATGACGATGATGAGACAAAGTTGCAAGCTCATGATGAACTACTTTTATGAAACAATTACAGTGCAATTTTGAAAGAATCTATTAATCAATCACGCATTACTGCAAATGATATTGGTGAAGTTATCTTTTTAGAAATTTGCGCAGTGAATTGTGACACACCATTATCAGTTCAGTTCATTCAATTCATTGAAGAAAAGGGATATTTGAAAGTAACGGCCATTTAGAAGTGGCATCTCAAACCCCTGTTTTTGCTATTCTGGTTCCAAGTTCAATTGGACTGTCTTTTCGATGTGCTTTTTGCTGAATTAGTATCCCTGTTAAGAAGGATATCATTCAGGAGCTAAAAAACCTCGAAAGTTGGAAATGTAGACTTACAGTGCCAATCATTTGCAACTTTAATTCTGCTAATTTTCTCGATCGTTCTCATTTTTTCATTTTATTTCAGCGGAAGAGTTTCCCCCGAAGCATTAGGAATTCACAAAATGGATATGAGATGCTTAGAGGCCATAGAATTGGGCGATTGATGGCATCGTCACTATAGCTAACCGAACAGCTGATCTCGGCTCAGTCCGACACTGGCTATCTGAATGTGTGATGGCGATATGAATTCAACAATGGATTAGATGAACGACGCATGAATTCCAGATTGCTTTAAAATTTATTTTCTGCACTTTTCTTCTCTCACTTCAGCTAAATATCCCAAAAGAGGTCTATTTTGAGGATTCACTTCTCCTCTGTTTATGACCGTGCAAACAACTCAACTATAATCAGTGAACCGTAATTCATCATCTGTTCGCTTTGAATTTCAATTGACTCAACTGATATTCATATATCTTGAATGAATGAGCAACCACTAATTTATTGCCCCACATTGCCCGTGATCCAGTGATGAGGAAATATATCCATTCCAGTCACCCGAGGCACTTCTTCTTTGAATGCCCCGTGAATTCTGTATACTCTCGTATAGAAACATTGGATCTGTTCGTGTTATTTGCTAATGGATGCGTTCACATTACTCATGCAAGATGAAATAAAATGACAAATGAGCGCTTCTTGTTACAAATTTCCTCCTACGCTTTCCATTTTTGACAGTAGTTTAATGTGAGGTGATTAACATAGATCAAAGACCTTATAAATTTTCAAATTGGCATGCACACGTTGAGAAAGCACTGCTTAAGAGAAACACTTTCACTGAATATTCAATGTGTTCCAGTCTAGCGATCTTTCAGTTCCAGGTGAACTGCTCTATTGTTTTTGATTCTAGCGGAATAGGATAAAAGGGCTCTAAAATATGACGTTTTTGGAGTAGAACAAAACATGACCGACATAAAAATGACCGAAAGAGTAGCGTAAAAATGGTTGGAAGAGCACATGGGAAAAAACAGAACAGATATCTGGTGAGAAGCGCGGAACCGGGACCTCACTATCTCGCAAAATGCTTCGGGTTAAAAAAAAAA